AGGGGCAGGTAGCAGCCTGAAGCCCCCATGTGGAGGGAGGTTCATTGAATGCTAACAAGTGCTTTAAAAAAAAAAAAAAAAAGTGTTTTGTGCCTTCACAAAAGTTTTAAAGGGAGCCAACTTGTTTTCCAGAGGGAATGGAGAGAAAAGAAATAGAAAACAAGGGTCTCGTGGTCAAGAGAAATATACAGCACAACTTGTACAACTGTGCTTTACTAAACACAGGTGTTTCCATATAGAAACACTGAACAAAAGATGACCTTAACATATTCATTCTAAAAATAAAGGGAAAAAAGTAAGCAGTAGTTAGAAGAAAATTGAGGGGCCATAGATTTATAAAAATTACTTCAACGCCTTTATGACCATTTTTATAACAATCATATTTTGAGAAGCTTTTCTTTTTTTTCTTTTTTATCTTTTGTATCCGTTTTTACTTTTGAGGGGGGGGGAGAGAGAGAGAGAGAGAGAGACAGCGAGAGCGCAAGAGCATGGGGGCTGGTAGAGATGGAGAGGGGGCTCGTGGGATCTGAGATCATGACCTAAACCAAAATCAAGAACTGGATGCTCAACCAACTGAGCCACCCAGGTGCCCCAAAATGTTTCTTTTCTTAACTGAATAAATTTAAGGGACATATAATAAGGTGCATACTTTCTACTTTGTTATTTAAAGGCACTTTACAATGTTAACTTAATTATGTAATTAAAATCTTGGTTTTTCCATTACCCTCTGGCTTTCCTAGCACATCAGTCTTTTTTAAATTGTCTGCATACCAGATCAATAAGAAATTTTGATAGGACAAACTCTATGCACCATAAAATACTGTTTTAGATGAGAACTTTAAATGTTTGTTGTTTAAAAATACCCAATTTGGGGGGCTCCTGGGGGGCTCAGTCGGTTAAGAGTCCAACTGCAGCTCAGGTCATGATCTCACAGTTCGTAGGTTCGAGCCCGCACTGGGCTGACAGCTCAGAGCCTGAAGCCTGCTTTAGATTCTGTGTGTGTGTGTCTCTCTCTCTGCCCCTCCCCTGCTCATGTTCTCTCTCTCTCTCTCTCCCTCTTTAAAATAAATAAACATTTTTTAAAAATTTAATATACCCAATTTTTTTAAGATTAACATTATTGTAGTAATAAAACACTGGATAGCATCAATTTATCACTCAGAAAAGTAAAGTAGCCGAAGGCTAGAAAGGTTTTTATATGAAGCATGATTATAGTTGTATAAGAATGTTTCCTACAACTTTTAAAATTTTTGCATTATATTTTGTTATGTTTATCTGAACTATTTTTATTCAGTCTTTTGACACACCAACTATAATTCCCATCTTAAAACACTAGAGCATTAAAACATATTTCATTTGCCCTGAAGTTTTTCAATAATAGAATAGACAGGCCAGGATTATTGATTTCTCTTCCCTGGCACCTTACTTTACAAGGATTTGTTTTTCTGTGATAAACACAGCAGAAGAACTTCAAAGAGAAACTCCTTTGTTGTTCATGACCCCTAAGTTTTCATTGCTGTGGCAGGTTATGCTTCCCGAACACAGCAACAAACGTCTCTCTCAGCCTATGTTCCTTCTGCAGTATGACCTTGCGCTTCCACATCAAAACATGGTGTGTCTATTTTTGTACCCCATTTGATGCCGGTGGGCCCTCTGACTATTTAACCAATAGAATATGGCAGGAGCAACCCTGGGCCAGTTGTGGTGTATCCCTGGCCTGCCCTGGCAGTTCCTGCTTCCTGTCTCTTAGAAGACAGTTGCTGCTACTCTGAGCCTACCATATGGTAAGAAGCCAAGCCACACAGAGAGAGGAAAGAAGGCCAAGAAGTAAGAAAAGAAGCAGCCATGCTGGATGACCCATCTAGTGGAGACTCCAGATGATTCCAGCCCCAGGCACTATCTGATGGCAAATACATGAGAAACCCAAGTTAAGAACTGCCCAGGTGAGCCCAGGCCACCTACAGAACCATGACAGAATAATAGCTTGTCGTTTTACCCACTAAGGTTTTGGGTAGTTTGATGCACAGTCATAGATAACTGGAACAATTATCTATCGCTATCTCTTATAACAAAAATTTTTCCTCCTGGGTCTGAAATATAGGACGCCAATCTTGCCTTTCTGCTTTCTCCTCTTTCTACTTTCTCCTTACTTTTCCTCTGTGGGAGGTTATTTATATAACACATATCCAGTTATTCTATTTGGGAAACGTAGCAATGTGTGAAAAAATGTTGGAGTTAGTGTTCTACACAGTATCTGCAATACTGGCTTTGGTAATAACAATAACTAGATTTTAAAAATAATACCTACGGTTAATGGAGCACTTGTGTGTGACAGATGTTCCTTCGGGCACCTTGAACACACAAATACATTCAATACTCATGACAATCCTGTGAAGTATTATTCTCATTTTGACAGATAAAAAAAAAATTCTTGAGGCATAGTAACCCATACAAAGTCACATAATTTTTTGCTGGTGGAGCCAAGATTTTAAAACATCTCTTTATAACTCCAAACTCGAAGCTCTGAACCACACTTCGCTATACCGTCTGCAAATCTTTATATTTTACAATGAAGTTCTTAAATGATTTTTTTCAGATGGTATGTCCCTAAATAAGATGCTGACATTTTTTGTTTACATCAGCACTATGTTGTGCCAGCTTAAATATAACTCACCAATGTAATTTTTTATTTTACATATTTATCTGACTTCACCTTCTTCAGAACAGTTTTCAGAAAGCCATTTCATTTAGATCGAGAGTCATTTTATACCTGATCAAGTTATGAGGACTAGTGTCTGGTTGTGGGAGAAAGGGGGAAACATTGGCTTTCACATATATTCCCTTGTTTGACTCTTTTTACACCTCTGTGAGGAAAGCATTATGATGGCACCTGTTTCATAGACTGGAAAACTACACTTTCGGAAAATTAAAAGGATCTGCCAAAGTCACTTGGAAAGTGATCTGATTCTAAGATCATGCTTTTCTGCCTGTACTACCCCTATAGCCCAGAAGTACATGGTCAATCCATTACCTCCTTTAGAACATGGATTTACACATAGATCATGCTGTTACAAATGTCTTTTCTATTTTTTTCCAAAATTTATTTGTTTGAGAGAGAGAGTACAAGAAGGGAAGGAGCAGAGAGACAGGGAGAAAGAGCATCCCAAGCAGGCTTTGCACTGCCAGCACGAAGCCCAGTGCAGGGCTCCAAACCACCAACCATGGGATCATGTCCTGAGTGAAAACCAAGAGTCAGAAACTTAACTGACTAAGCCGCCCAGGTGCCTTGTCTTTTCTATTTTGACTCCCAATACTGCCCTTGATTCCACTCTCAGTTCAGCCTAAGCCCCATTTAAACCTTCACTTTCTCTTTGACCCCAGCATTTTAAGGATGGTAGAGCATTTTTATAATGTTATCTCTGAGTCGATGAATGAAGGAATGGCCAGATTACTTTGTGCAACATTACAATAGGTAATACAGAAATGTTATACACCAAACCGGGAATTTGCAAGGATCGCAAATTGATAGCAAACAACCTTGGGATTCACAGTCTGTAAAAACAGAAGTTTGGTGTTGTGGGTCTTACTGTTCTCAATGGAAATCTTGATTCCTCTACATTTTCTCTTTGTGAAAGTCAGATTATCTTGACATATTTCTGAACAAGACGCACATTAACCTTCTAATTTTGCTATTTCTATTTCCCAGCTCTTACTTTGAGTTTTCTTGTAAATTTGAGTCCCACATTTATAAGAAATGTACAATGAAACTGAGAATCTGTTCTGGAACATAATCAATTGCTTTTCTAACATTGTTTGCATGCTACCCTTTTCAGCAGGAAATGGTAAAAAAATATGACTCAAAATTTCAAAAACTCTATGCCTGCAAAGAAAAAATGAAAGAAACTTACACCAAAACCAAAATTAAAATTAAAATGAAAGCACATGAACTTTTCCTAAGCGGTAACGGTTCTTATCTCTTTAAAATAATTCAAGACTATGTAGCAATGTATTACAATGCGATTTGGGTGACCAATAGTTTGAATAATTGGTTTGGTATTAGGTCAAGTAATTATTTAATAGGCATCTTCAGAAAATTAAAAAGATTCCTTTGTTCTAATATAAACTATTTTCTTTTTGAGTGGGGAAAGAACTGGAAGTTCTTAGGAAATGAAAGTTCCTATGAAGATTAAGTGGAGCTTCCACATTCCCAAGGGATCCATAATTCTTCCATGTTCCCAGATCCTATTCCTCAACACAAGCAAGAAAGCACTTTTATTTTCTAGTCTCAATTTCTCAGTAAGCTGCCATTTCAACTAGTGCTCGCGAAAATATAACTAAGGTTTGCAGAAGTTTCCAGAAACTGTCACTGGAACAAACCAACCATATTGGGTCAAGAGATTCAGAATTACAAGGTCATCAGTAATAGTTGGAGAAATAGCACTGACTCTTATTTTTGTAGCATTTTATGAAAAAAAAGAAAATGGAAACAGTGTTGTCCAAAAATTGTCAGTGTTGCTACATTCAAGTCTACAGGAGAACATGAATTCAAAAGATATCAGAAGCTGTGGTCCTTCAGCTAAAGAGGTGATCTAGCTGCTTTATTACTGGCCAGCTTGAAGATATAGTTATGCATCATTTAAAAACTGATGGTAAAACAATATCCACAACTTACATAATGTCTACTCTCCTTCTACCTGACCCCTATAAGCCACTCAAACAAATGTCTTTCAAACGACATCCAGTATTTCTTGAGGAAAATTTTTAGATACTGACAGCCATTTGCACATCTCAGCAGGAGATACTTGGTTTCTGGTTTCGGTTAGATAACATCTTAGCCTGTGATCACAGACCACAGTTTTGCAGACTTCCTCCCAATTCAATCATGAGTGTTGAAAAGAGAATGTGTAAATGTCTGTCTCTCTCCTCACTAAGGCTTATGCATAGCTGGCCTATATTATCAAATATTTTACTCCTCACTCAATTAAAATCATTCGTATTACCTTTGTCCGGACTTTTTGCAGGATGTGTTCAGGGCAGTTGACTGTGAATCTGAAGAGGGATTTTGGCTTTGCCTTGTGATTTCTCAGTAACTACAGTTAATAAAGTCCTCACTTGTCTTTTATACCAGCAGAGTAATAAAAACTGCATGTTCCCACCTGCATCTAAGCCCAGGGATCAACAGTAAATTCCACCCAATGATTGAATGGTCCTTTGTGTAATTACCATGACATCAATTTGATCTTATCTTGTTTCAACCATCAGATCATTTTTTGTTTTGAGCCATTTTCAGGCGGTGATGACTGCAAGGTCAGCCTATGAAAAGAGGGTACACTGTCATTTTCTATGTAATTTTATCAAGACTTACACACAACATCCTGAAAGCTGACACTTTCCTATAAACAAGACTCTATGAGTATTGCATTTAATTAGCTAAGTACCTGATGTTTACTTAAAGCAGGAGAGGAGCTGTAAATTTCAGATAAAGATACAGAACATCTCCAGGCTTACATTATTCTAGGAAGAAACCGAAAAATAAAACCCATACCCATGTAGGCTTTTCTAATAGTCTAAATTATTAGAAATTTTTAATTTAGACTATTAGAAATTAATAGATTAGTTAGAAATTAGAAATTGATAAATTAATAAATTAGAAATAAATAGCTAAATTTAATGTTTCTAACATTAAATATGTATTTGGATTGGATCAGGATACATAGAGAAAGTATGAGATGATTCTGAGAAGGACTGGCTGGTTCTTCATGTTGTGCCTTTTTTATAATCTCTGGGTCAAAGAATACATGTTATGGCTTGCCAGCTGTGGGACATTTAACTCCAAGATTCCCAGTCCATGACTCTCTAAAACGACCATGCTCCTCAGGACTGGCCTACAGCTTTGACCCAGAGATTATAATCCCTCAAAGATTCCTCTCTCCATTTCTGTAGGAATTGGCTTTGGATATAAATACTACCAGGGACCTCCCCAAGGAAGGGTTTAGAAGATTCTTGTGATACAAAAAGCAACTGTTGTTTAACATAAAGATACAAACCAAAGAAAGCAATGCTGTTCTGTGATTTATTATCTGTGATAAGTTGATTTGTTTCAGTTCTTACGCCTTTTCAGATTTTCATTATCTCTTTCCAATGGTTTCTCCTAGTATCCGCTCTATCCATTTACTTTTGCCTGGTGACAGTTGCTGTCACCACTATTCATGAATTTCTATCATTTACATCTCGAAGGATTAGCAATACATTCTCAAAGTCAGAGATGTATTGTGGAAATATTGAGCCTTTATAGCTTCAGGGGAAGGAAATCTCTCTAGTCTTAGGGATAGCCTCCTTTTCCTTCCATTCAGACATTTTGTTCTATTCTCTCCCCTCCATTTGTGCCTTCTTTGATCATTCTTTTTTTTTTTAACTGCATGATTAAGTAAACAGAATGTTTCTTGCGTGCTGTTATGAAACTATTTTCATTTGGTTTGTGATTTAGTAGTGGGTTTCATTTTTATTTCATGTTTCTGTATAAGAATTAGGAATATCAGGGGATTCATATGAAAGTTTTTATAGTGTTTTTAAGGTTTACAGTGCTTTTGTATTTAAAAAGAACATTATGTGGCAAAATAATAAATTAGACAAAAGATTATTGAAAGTCCCTTCCACATATGACCTATTCCCCTCCCCAAATCCCCAGTTTCCCTATTCAGGAGTGACATTTGATTCACTACATTCTACACCTGAAGCCAATATTATATTATATGTTAACTAACTAGAATTTAAATAAAAACTTGAGGGGCGCCTGGGTGGCTCAGACTGTTGAGCATCCGACTTCAGCTCAGGTCATGATCTCACAGTTTGTGAGTTCAAGTTCCGTGTCAGGCGCTGCTGATGGCTCAGATCCTGGAGCCTGCTTCAAATTCCATGTCTCCCTCTCTCTCTGCCCCTCCCCTGCTCATGCTCTGCCTCTCTCTCTCTCAAAAATAAATCAACATTAAAAAAAAGCCTGAAACAAAAGTGTTTTTGTTTTCTGCTTTTATCCTATGTCTATATAAGTAAGTTATATATAACTCCCCTTCCCCATTCAAATTCTCTTTAACATGATAAACAGAATACAAAAGTTGGAGGAAATTGAATTTGCACTCGTAAATTGGAGACACTTCTTTCTGTTAATATAGTATAAATCAGAGTTCTCCATACTTTCAAAAATGAGCATCTATTACTTTTCATTATAGTTGGGGAAATGAATTTTCAGTCAGTGGAGAAATAACACTCTTCAGTTACAAGTGAGTAAAGTACCGGTAGCAAAAATACGTTTTTAAGTCTCACTGCTTTATGTAGCTGTCTTCCTGTATTATTGACAGGTCCATCCCATACCTGGCAGCTCTGTTTTCCCTCCTCTTGAGTAAGTGGTAGGGCCGGGTGGGTAAGAGATCCAAGCCACTCTTCATTCATGTAGACTTACTCCCCGGATCCTAAAATTTGGGGTGCCCATTTCCAAGAAGGTGGACTGGCTGACACGCTGGGATGACAAGGCACTGGCCACCCCTACTGGGCAAGGTGCAGAAAGCCTAGCACGCTATTTAGAGTGTGTCAGGAACATCGCTGCGAAGTAGTAGGGCACAGTGAGTTTTATAAGGTTACACTACATGCATGAATTTTTCCCAGGGAAATTTTGTCATCTACACACTGAATTTTTTCAAGTAGCAACCGTTATAAATGTTTCATATGCTTACTTGATTTGTTTTATTAAACATAATTTGATCTTCCTAATGACAAAGTATGATTATCACAAACATTATGCTATAATCAGGAGAACAGCTGAGGCATGATCAATGCTTGCTTTTTCAAGGAGTTTATTCTTCAGTAATCTCAATAATACATTACATTGCAAGATTTTAAAGTTTCAAGCAATCCAATCAAGAGTACATACAGTGAAAAATAAGTCTTCCTTCTACCTCAAAATCTTCACTCCTATTCCTAAGGTTAATTTTTAACAATGTCTTCATGTTTGCTGACATTTTCTAAGTATATAGAAATGTTTTCAGAGGTTATACTGTGTCAAGGAACAAGAATTCCTGTCCCTTCAAAGGCCCCTCTATTGACATGAGACAGATTAATAGGAGAAAATAAAATTTAATAGGCATATGTACAGGGAGTCCACATAGACATGGAAATTCCAAAGATAGTCAGGCAAAATGAAGTATATATTGTATGTCATTGTGAACTAAGGAGAAGGAGATAAGAGCCAGGGACTTTAGAGGAAAAGAATGCAGTTTACAGGGCAATAAAAAGAAGAGCACATGTTTGCCCTGCAATACAGATGGGTCACTCAGATAAAATTTATCTTCGTTAATAATCCTTCTTCTGGGAAAGACCCCCAAATTAAATTCTTCTGGGTGGTTAAGGGGGGTGGGGTGGACAGAAGTTTCTCTTGACCCCACAGGGTCTAAAGTGCCTGACTGCCTTCAGCTCGAAATAATCCACATGCCAAAATGACACATTCTGGGGCAGGGGGGCTATACTGAACCCCTTCAACTGTAGAGAAATATAGTATACATATTGTTTAGTACCCTGGCTTCTTTCTTCTTTTTATTTTCTTTAACATTTGTTTGTTTGTTTATGTATGTCTGTATGTATTCATTTTAAGTAGTCCCTACACCCAAGGTGGGGCTCAAACTCACAGCCCGAAGGATCAAGAGTTGCATGCTCTTCCAAATGAGCCACCCAGGCACTCCTTTCTTCTTTTCAAACCTAATGATGTATTTTGGTGGCTTTTTCCACATGCAGATATGCATATCTAACCATGCTTTTTAAATAGCACAATGTATTATGGACCATTAATTATTTAACCAGCCCTATGCTCATGATCATTTGTATCATTTCCAGTTTTTTACTATTACAAACAATGCTATAATTATCATCCTTGCTCTAGTTGCATGTACAATCATAGTTCTAGAATACATTTTTAGAACGGCAATTGCTGCATCAAAGAATATGAGTATTTAAACCTTGTATAGAGATTACTCAAAGGCTCTTCGCCATTTCTCAAAGCCAATGCTCTGAAATATGTTAGTTTTATGAAATAGATGAAAAATGATTTTATTTTCACTTGCATCTATATAATTTTGAGCAGGGTTGAGCATCACTTCATAAATTATAGTTCAGGTGTACCTGGGTGGCTCAGTCATATGAGCATCCGACTATTGATTTTGGCTCTGGTCATGATCTCAGGGTTGTGGGACTGAGCCCAGAGATAGCCTCTGTCCTGAGTGTGGAGTCTGCATAAAATTCTTTCTCTCTCCTTCTGCCGCTTTCCCCTGCTCACACACATTCTCTCTCTCAAAAGTGAGAAAAAATTAAATAAAAATAAATTATACTTCACTTAGGGGTTGTTTTTCTATGAACTCCCTGTTCAAAAATCTTTCTCAGTGTGCCCAGTGGCTCAGCCCGTTAGGTGTCCAACTCTCAATTTCGGCTCAGGTCATGATCTTGGTGTCCTGAGATCAAGCCCATGTGGGGTCCATGCTGGGAGTGGAGCTTGCTTAAGATTCTCTTTCTCCCTCTCCCTCTGTCCCTCCCCTACTCACGCTGTCTTTCCCTCTCTCTCTCAAAAAAAACCAAAACCCAAAACAAAAAACTCAAGTTGTTAATTTCATCTTTAATTTTAAGTTTGACTTTGAACTCATTTATGGTATTTTTACCATACAGTAGTTTCTGTAGGCAAAAGCATCTATCTTTAACTTTCAGACTTGTTGATTTTATATAATATCAAGATACTAAAAAGAAGTACTCATTTTTTACTTTAGAATGTGTGCAGCTTTATTTATTTTCAATTTAAACCTATAACTCACCTGTAACTTATTTGGGAATCAAGACTGAAATAGAAACCCAGTTTCTTTTTAAATCTAAATAGCAGGGAGCTTGGGTGGCTTTGCTGGTTAAGCGACCAACTCTTGGTTTTGGCTCAGGTCATGAGGCTGCATGGGGCTCCACCCTGAGTGTGGAGCCTGCTTGGGATTCTCTCTCCCTCTCTCTATCTGCCCCTCCCCAGCTCATGTGTGCATTCTCTCTCTCTCTCTGTCTCTCTCAAAAATAAAT